AGGCTTGGCCGGGTGCCGGCTGCAAGCCGCTCAGCCCTCACTGTCGCGGGGGGGGGTTTGGTGGGCCGAGCTCTGGGGGGAAGAAAGTTTGGCGGGTCGGCCAGGCCTCACCGCCACCGCTGCTAGGGAAGGTGGGAGGGGGAACGCTTGGCAGGCTGAGTTCAGGCCCCCCCCCCTCCAGCGCATTATTCAAAACAATGTTTAAGCATATGGCTGCACAGCAATCCAGAGCAAGGAGGTGAGTGTGATCGTGATTCTCCAGGTTAAAAAAGACCACACCGGGGCCGGAGCAATTTAAACCGCTCCCCGCACGCCATCTGATCGCACCCTGAGGGTCATTTTAAGGTCCACATGCACCCATCCCTGCCAGAAGAGTGCTGCATGACCACGAGCCCGGGACAGTGCATTTGCATTTAGATTCTGCTTATCTCCCCCTTCTCCATTCTCACAACAGCCCTGCGAGGTAGGCCAGGTGGAGAGTTTTGTGACAGGCCCAAGGTCACCCAGCGAGCTTCCACGGTGGTAGGGGTGTCGAGCCCAGGTCGCCCGGGGTCACCGTCCACCCCACCATACGGCCCAGACGGGCAGCGATGTCCCCGTGATCTCCTCCCCAGCAGAACAACTCAAATGGATCTGCAATGTCCTTCCAGCGTTCGGGTGACAACAATTCAAACTCACGGGAAAAGTGTTAATTTTTTTTTTAATGTTTTTATTATGGACGGCATTTTAATTGTTAAACTGTGCAACAGAACGGCAGGCGGGCATCCGGTTGAAATAATATGGGTAACAAAGAACTTTCCCGTACCCAAAAGGCAGGGGAACAGTGTCAGGTCACGGCCTCATCGGTCCAGAGTGCCGCTGGGGCCTTCTCGACCCTCGGCTGTGCCTTGACTTTTTCTCCCTGTGGCCTTCCCGCCCCGTTCCAGAAAGAGCTCTCGGTGACGTTAACCGGACAGAGACAGCCCCGCCGCCCTCGCCTGCCGGCTCTCCTGAAATTTAAAATCAGTGCTTTTCTATTAAACAGCTATCCCGCCGGGGAGTCGGCGGGCAAACAGGAAGAAATGTCTCGGAGTGAACAAAAAAGTGCTTACAAAAGAAATAGGCAAACAAACATTCTTTCAGAGTCTGGAGAGGCCGAGTGCTGGAGGGAATCGAGCTGGATAGGTGGCGGCGGCGGCTGGACTGACGATCTCTCGAGTGCAATTCGAGTGCAAAGGGGGCTAGGCTGAGACGAAAGGGGTCGGGGTGGCATGGATCCAGCACACGGCGCTGGTGTCAGCCGGTCACAGGAGACGGTGAATGACGACAGGAGGGGAGACGTTTTCCTTCTAAGGTGAGCCAGACCGAAGGTTCTTTGGTCAAAGGGGGACTGGGACGGATGTCCGGGAGACGAAACTAATTGAGTGCTCCGTGCTGCCGCCTTTCGTTCTCTTAGATCAGCAGCCTCCGGGAAGCCCATTTTTGGGGTTCCTGTTCAGATAATGGGGGGAGTTGCGAGGACTGGCCCTAGGCTGTTAACCTGAACTGCAAAGGCACCGGAACCACGGCCTGCTGAGTGAGTGGTCCCTCAAAAGGCAACCGTTTAGAAACAGAGGAGGGGCCTTCCATTGGAGCGGGAGCAAGAGGAACTGACCGCACCGCTGCTGTCAGAAGGGCCAGCATCGAGGGCAACCTTCTCATGAGAACACCTTCGGCAAAGTTCGGAGAGAGATCCAGAGTTTTCAGACCGGGTTCTCGCGCTGCCATTTCCATCCGCTCCCCCACCCTGCAACCCTCTGGCTTTCTGAACGAATCTGGTTTATCTTTCTGTACCCTGTAGCTCTGCCTTTTGTCCAGAGGTCCGCGCGAAGGCACGTTCCCGACGTACAAGTGAGATGGAATGCAAGCCAGAATTTCTAGACACACCATAGCCAGTTATTTCAATAGGGAGGGAGGGATCATTCATACTTCGGTCCTGTCACAGACCTTGGGACAGGGAGCACGAACGGAGGTCCCTGAATTAAGCAAATGCAAGTCGGACCGCGAGACGAACACCTTCCAATGCCATTTGTCTAAGGCCCAACTTAAACACTGGTGCCGGCTCTGCCCGTGCAAAGCAACTACGCGACGTGCCCTAACAGCCCTTGGTGGCACGCATAAGCTGCCTGACGTGGGAAGCTGCCCAGCTTAAGCAAAACACCGCCCACGCGCCAAGCCCCGCGAGGAAGTGCCTTCGCCTCCGCTGACCTGACATTGAAACAGGGCCGAAGCGGAAACGGGAAGAGGTGGCTTAACCGCTTGTCTTGCGAGATGCCCAAAACGGCCAACGGCTCCGAATGCCAACTTAAGATCTTGCCAGTGTTGCTTTTACGTGCTGGATGTGTTGCGCTTCTAACTGGCGCTCAGACCTGTTTTGAAAATCCTCAACACGTTAAAAAACAACAACAATAGTTTGGCATTTAAAAAAAAGGGATGCTGCCAATTATCTTTAAGACCATCTGCTGAGGAAATGACACCGCGGAAGCCGTCCTCAGAAGATTTTCCCTGGAGTCAGCCGCGCCAGAAATCCCACCGTCTCCTGGGACTGATGAGCTGTTCGAGACGTGTTTTAGCCTTATGCCCACAAAGCTGGCCACGGGACAGGCTCATGTGTTCATGTATCCAATCATCACCCCCCCAAAAAAACCCCAGACTGTATCCCTAGGGACGCCTCCCCGACAAACCCCACAGCCTGTCCTACTCGGCCCAGAAGGCAGGGCTGAGACAAAAAGAAACTGCGGAGACCGTTCTAACATGACATGCCCCTGAACCTGCACTCTGAAAGTGGGACAAAGAAGCTGCACTGCAAACTTTCCCTGAATGTGTAACGTGACCTCAGGTACATCACTGCCGCAGAAGTAACAACTATGGGGCGAACTTGAAGCAATACTCTTACATCTAGGGCAAGCCCAGAGCTCAGGAATACGACCCTTAGAGCGGTCTGATGTGGAAGACGGCTGCTCTTATGCCCTTGAGAGATTCTCAGGTCTCGCTTTCCCCCTACTGAGGGAACAGCACGCACATGGGCCTGTCTAAGAGTCCGCACAGGTTTGCTAGAGCGCAGCTGAGCTGACGAAGTTAGGAAGGAGTTTCCGCACAAAGGGAATGCCGGCTAGCGGCAAGGAAAGGGTCAGAGAAGGTGATCAAGTCACTCACAAGCAACGTGCAGCAGGGCTTGACTTACAAAGGAGGCGAGCGAGCTTCTCGAGTGACGCAAAGCATGGGAGGGGCCTCCTTGTCTCCGCCCAAGAGCTGCTGTCGAAGGGCCAGCTGCTTCTGTCATGCTTTCTGCTCACACGGGCTTCATTGCCTCCAATCGCACACACAAACGCACACAGAAGACACTGTGGCAGCGTTGGGGGGGAAGAGCCTGAAGGACCCCCTGGAGAGTCAAACAGGTCCTTTCCTTGCTGACTGCCAAGCGATAAGGCTCTGGATGTAGGAGGCGGGCGAGAGAAAGCTGGGTGGGGTGGGGAGAGGGTGCTGAGCAGGGGGGAGGAAAGGAAGAGGGGGAAGACGGACCCCTTTCTCAAAAGAGAGAACTAACGGAGGCCAGCTGAAGAGCTCGACCACTTAAGGCAGGAGTGAGAAACGGAGATTGCAGGGGAAAGACGCAAACGGGG